GTATTTTTTTTAAGACTTTATTTATTAGAGGGAGAAAGAGACTGCGTGCAGGAGCAGGTGGGAGGGGCAGACAGAGGAAGCAGCAGACTCTCCTCTGAGCAAGGGAGTGCAATGCAGGGTTCCATCTTACAACCCATGAGATCATGACCTGAGCCACCCACATGCCCCCGATAGCTGCCATTCTGGTAAAGGCATTTGTTTATTGGAATGATAATCAGGAACTGTTTGAAAATTTACCATGGAATCTTAGCCTGTGAAGGACCTTAGACAGTCACTTGTTCTAATAATGGCCTATCTCTGGGCAAGTGGGGAAATAGCTGTCTTCTACCTGAATTTATCCCAATTACTTTTTGACTGATTCCCTATAGAGTTTGAAAGCAGTACCCCACTAAATAAGTATTTAATAAGCTTTAATGAAAATAATGGGTCAAGAGGTCTTATCTATATTTTTGGTTGGTTTTTACCTTTTTATTTTTAGTTTTTTTTTAAGATTTTATTTACTTATTTGACAAACAGAGATCACAAGTAGGCAGAGAGGCAGGCAGAGAGGTGTAGGGGAAGCAGGGTCCCTGCAGAGCAGAGAGCCCGATGCGGGGCTCGATCCCAGGACCCTGTGATCATGACCTGAGCAGAAGGCAGAGGCTTTGAGCCACTCAGGCGCCCCGGTTTTTACCTTTTTAAACTAAAAAATCATTTTCCCTAGAATATCGATATAAGGTACAAAAATTCAGATTGAAATACATCCAAACAGACATTTGGAGAACTTTGCAATCTCTAAGTAGTCTTTTTTTTAAGATTTTATTTATTTATTTGACAGAGATCACAAGTAGGCAGAGAGGCAGGCAGAGAGAGAGGAAGGGAAGCAGGCTCTCTGCTCAGCAGGGAGCCTGATGCGGGGCTCGATCCCAGGACCCTGTGATCATGACCTGAGCAGAAGGCAGAGGCTTTGAGCCACTCAGGCGCCCCGGTTTTTACCTTTTTAAAATAAAAAATCATTTTCCCTAGAATATCGATATAAGGTACAAAAATTCAGATTGAAATACATCCAAACAGACATTTGGAGAACTTTGCATTCGCCTATGTACTTTAAATTTAAGTGTTTTATTATTTTTTTTTTTTTTTTTTTTTTTAAAGATTTTTATTTATTTATTTGACAGAAGGGAAGCAGGCTCTCTGCTCAGCAGGGAGCCTGATGCGGGGCTCGATCCCAGGACCCTG